TCATAAAATGGCTGCCTTGCACTGAATGCAAGCAGGGCTCCATTTGAGGAGTGGCTGCAAAATGGCCCCGGCTTGAAAGCAGGACCAAAATCCTCTTTTACAACATGCTAAACCTTTTAAAAATATTGTCATGGCTCAGAAAAGCAAATATAAACAGTGGCATAATGGGAAATATGTATAATGCAAAAGCAACTAGCTTGTTTGGAATGGTCTTCCTTGGATGATTGCTACGAATGGCACAATCCTGCTCACGGCAATTGCAGGAATGCCCCCATCCCATAATAAACACCATTATGACCTTATAGTATTATATAGGTTATAGTAGGACTTGCGACTAAGAAACTGCATAGCCATGCTGACCGAGAAATGAAGCTCATTTTGAAAATTTGTGTTCGGGATTGTATGATTCCACACTGAAATGTCGTGTTGGCTCTATCCAATTTTGACTCCCAAAGCCCACAGCAGAGTTAAACAACTCTGCATGTCTCTGGACTGCTACTTTCCTAGAGTTTTGACGGAATGCTGATGGGAATGGCAGTCCAACAATACCTGGAGTTTAGAGGATTCCCATCCCTGGTTTGCAATCGCACAGCATCTATGGAGATACCTGTGATGGTATACCTCCGTTGTATGAAATATGAGATGAAGATAGAACATCCATTGACTTTTTGGTGGTGGCTCCTCTGATATACGATTGAAACTGTGTTTTAACTCCAGGGAGTTAATGACATTTCTATTAACATGGAAAGTGTCTAAAAGGGCTTGCCCTGCCATACAATATCTTTATGACTCAATTGCTATCATTTTATGATTTCTATGTATCAGGGTGAGAACCACGTATCCGACCAGATATCACCAGACTGCAACCCCCAGTATTCCTCACACAAACTATGCTGGAAGTTGCCCTTCAAAGGTTTATATGCTGTAAATTGCTAAAGAAGTTTTGGTATAGTGTGTCCTCCATAACCTTGACATCCAGTTTTGCGTTCAATACTCCAAATAATTCAGAGCTCGTGGTTTTATTGCAGCGTCTGAGATAAAGAGATGAAAACCCATATAATTATGGAAATGCTTCAGGGAGGAGGAAACCAGAGAAACCTGTGTTGGATGTAGCACATGACCACATTACACATGAAACACCTTTCAGTAGACCTGAAGTTTGGAGATGTTCCCCATCCGAGATCTCCAAGGCTTAAGAACGGAAGAGGAAATTACTCCAAAGTTGAGTGTGCAGATACCATCTCACTTTAAAGCTGTATAGATGTGTTTAATGCAGCAGTTTCAATGAAAATAAAACACACTCTTGACAAAAGAGGTCTTCCTGGGTCTTCTAGTCTGGTTGGACTCCCAACTCCCAACAGTCCCAGTCAATATATGAGCAAGAACAACGGGTTCCAGTCAAGGTATAATCGAGAACAATGGGTTCCAGTCAAGGTATGATCAAGAACAGTGGGTTCTAAGCAATGTATGGTCAAGGACAATGGGTTCCAGTCAAGGTATGATCAAGAACAGTGGGTTCCAATCAATGTATGATCAATTACAATGGGTTTCAATCACGGTATAATCAAGAGCAATGGGTTCTAGTCAATGTATGATTAAGCATGATGGGAGTTTTAGTCCAGCAGCTGGAGGGCCTCAGATTCTGTATGTGAGAGTACCTTCAAGTCTCCTGTTGACCCAGGTAATGGTTCCCAAACTTTGCTCCTCCAGCTGTTTTGGACTACAACCTGCAGAAGCTCCAGCCAACTCGGTCAACCGCGAGGAATTCTGGGAGCTGAAGTCCAAAACGGCCGGAAGACCAAAGTTTTGGAACTACTGTAGGTGAGAGTGCCTTCAAGTCTCCTGTTGATCCAGGTAATGGTTCCCAATGGTTTGCTCCTCTAGTTGTTTTGGACTCCAACCTGCAAAAGCCCCAGCCAGCTTGGTCAACTATGAGGAATTCTGGGAGTTGAAGTCCAAAATGGCTGGAAGAGCAAAGTTTTGGAACTACTGGTGACCCCAAGTATTTCATAAGATGTTTCTTTGCCAAAAGGTGGCTTTGCAAATTCTCCAGAGCTTTATACCTGGAAAATTGTACCAGAAATGGGCCATTTCTTGTGTAATAGGCTTAAGATGGTAGGACCGTGGCCCCATTCCACCATGAAATTCCCTTGACAACCTTGGGCATGCCTCACTCTCTTCTTTCTACCTAACCCACTTCATTGTGAGGATGGAGTAGGAAGGAGAAAGAAAGACCGTGGTGACCACCTAAGCTTACAGAAGAAAAAGTGGGATATAAATAAATGAATCAATCCCATGTGACCCGCCAGACTTGTCCCTCTCTTATTGGGAGATTGTCCTCGTTTCCCCAATACACCATCATGAGGACGCACGTCTCTCCCAATCAACGTTTGATGTGCTGTCAAGACAGGTGACGTGCTTCCTGGTCCCGCCCCCTGAGCCAGGAAGGAAGTTGCCAAAGCAGGAAGTGTTCCGAACTTCCTGAAAGTCATGTACCTCCTAGAGACATACCTCCTCAGCCAAACCAAAGGAAATAAATGTATATTATTGACAACAGGAAATACAACTTGCCACTCAAGAGAAAGGGAGAAGAAAAGAAACACCCACAAAAGGGCATCATTTACATAAAGATTTCTTGTTTTCCCCACATGACTAACTGCTGTCATTAGCAAGAGTAAAAGCAAGAAGGGGTATCTTTATTTTTAATTTAGGTGTTCCCAACTCGCTTGAGGCCAAACACCGAGTCTCTCACCAAGAAAGCAAAGCTTCCTGTTGGGAGGCTATGCAAATAATGCACTCAGGGACAAGAAAGCAAAGGGGACACGAAGTAGGGCTCCTCAAGCCTGACTTCAAACTCAGCTCCATTTCACAGCCTTGTCTTTCGATCTTTATCCCCCTTTGTTTGGCAAAGGCATTATAACATATAATACATTTTTAAAAGACAGTATTTTCAAATTAAGGTGGATTACAGAGTTTCAAATCAACTTTGGAACCGAGTCAGTCATATGGATTTGACAAAAGTACTGTTTCCCACAGAAGAAAATTCAGTGCAATTTAAAATACCTAAGCTTTCTATTCACCACCAAACAGACCCCCAGAATTGGCATTTGCTAATAAATCAATGTAGAATTTAAATGAAATATTTCCAACAATAATAGCAATAATTAATATCATTTAATATCTTGCTGAAACTGCATAGTTTTCCACTATTATTTAACCTTGTTGCATGGATTCAGATCCAGAAACAATAGAGTATTATTCATATACATACAAGCTAGTTTCAGATATTTACGTATCTTAATATTATTTAATATCTTGCTGAAACTGCATAGTTTTCTACTATTATCTCACATTGCTGCATGGATTCAGATCCAGAAATAATGGAGTATTATTCATATACATACAAGGTAGTTTCAGATATTTATGTATCTTAATATTATTTAATATTTATCATGGCATCCGCATATACTGCTGGAACTGCATAGTTTTCCACTAAAGGATGTTATTTCACATTGCTGCATGGATTCAGATCCAGAAATAATGGAGTATTATTCATATACATACAAGGTAGTTTCAGATATTTACATATCTTAATAATATTTAATATACTGGTGGAACTGTATAGTTTTCCACTAAGGGATGTTATTTCACATTGCATGGATTCAGATCCAGAAATAATAATTCATATACATACAAGCTAATTTGAGGTATAATAATAGTAATAATAACAACAATAATCATGATAATCATGTTCAAAAATTAGTTTCGGACTAATAGATTTTTCTAAAAGAGGATTTCAGTGAAATAATAAAGACCAGGAATAATGCAAAAAGTAGTATTATCCAATTGAGAATATCCAGATTCCTTTCGAAACTGTATTAACATGAAAAGCATCACCATGAAATGTTAAATCAGAAATAATAGTTGCAAACCAGAAAATATCAACAGCAAGTGTGGAAAAAAGAAGGAAAAACAGGTCCAGAAATAATGGAGTATTATTCATATACATACAAGCTAGTTTCAGATATTTACGTATCTTAATATTATTTAATATCTTGCTGAAACTGCATAGTTTTCCACTATTATTTCACATTGTTGCATGGATTCAGATTCAGATTGAGAGGAAACCCCTTTGTTATTCAAGGCAATGCCTCTTTGAGAAATTCAAGTGTATCAAAATTTCCCCAAAAAAGATCCAAAAGGGATCCAATCCTCCAATCCCCAAATGGATCAGGAAGTGAGAGATCTCTTGGAAATGCAGACACTGCTGTTTTATTTCAAAATCAGCCTTTTCCCATTCATATTGCTTTCTAGGGTCACTTTGCAAAGCCATCAAGAAAAGCAATGCCTCTTTGAGAAATTCAAGTGTATCAAAATATTCCCAAAAAAGATCCAAAAGGGATCCAATCCTCCAATCCCCAAATGGATCAGGAAGCAAGAGGTCTCTTGGAAATGCAGACACTGTTGTTTTATTTCAAAATCAGCCTTTTCCCATTCATATTGCTTTCTAGGGTCGCTTTGCAAAGCCATCAAGAAAGGCTTCTGTCTGGCCTTTCTTTCAGGGGAAGTTTTGGGCTTTGGGAAAATCCTTCCAAAGGAAACACACACCAAAAAAAAAATCCCTTGTATGTAAAATGGTGCAATGCAGCAGCGGCTACATAGGCAAGGTCATTTTTCACGGCTTGGAAAAAATATCCTCAAAATGGGATATATATAAGGAGAAAGGTGCTTTATTTACCTTTCCTCCCCAATGGCAATAAGGCCTTGAAATCCCGACAGGCTTCGGAGGGGGAAAGGGAAAAAAATGTGGCTCCGAAATATGAAAAAAGGGAAAATTTGGGTGTGGCAGATGAGGCAAATCTCAAGGTCACTGTTGATGGGGAAAGATCCCCCAAATGTCTGCTGGGGGGCTGCTCTGTGTCTGCTGCTCCAAGGCTGTCAAAAGGTAAACAGGGTGAGACTCAGGTGAGAAAGAGAGGAGGAAAGGCAAGAGAGCGTACCTGGAAGCGTTGCTGTGGAAGGAAGCCTCTTCCTCGCCTTGGCATTCCTCCTCGGTGTTCCTCATCATCTTTCCGATTTGGGAAAAGGAGCAAAGGAAAAGCAAAAAGGTCCAGCTGGGGTTGCTGGGAGGTCCTATGCCCAGGTATTTAGTACTGTCAAAAGTTGCCAAGAAGGTTGAAAGTCCCAGCTTGGAGGCTTCGGAAACCAATGGGGGGAAAAGTCCTCAGGATGCAAGGATGTGGCTTGGAAAGAAAAAGGGGAAAAATAGGAAAGGTCTCTTTTTTGGCCAAAAGGGAGCATCCTAGAAAACTTTGGGAAAGTAAACCTGGAAAGCCAAGCTATTTCATTGCGTCATGGCCAAGTCGATGCAATCGGTGAGGGAAAAAAACAAAAAAAACGGAAAATAATTCAAAATTGATCTAAGCTATTTCATTGCGTCATGGCCAAGTCGATGCAATCGGTGGGGGAAAAAAACAAAAAAAACGGAAAATAATTCAAAATTGATCTAAATAGGAGGAATAGTAATTAAAATGTCTAATAATAATGATGCCCCGCTATTTCAGCTCAGGTCCCACCGTGGGAAAACATGAGCGGTTTCAAAGGGAGAGGAGAAAAGGAAAGCAAAGGGAAGGAGGGGGGGGGGAGGGGAAAATGGCGAATTTCTTGCAAAAATAGATACAAAAGCTCGATCTCCAACGTCTCCCCTTCTTTGCAATCGCCAAAGGGGGTCGTGAAGACCCAAAACAAAAAGGTTGGGGGGGAGGAGGAGGGGAGGGGAGAGCTCCTTAAGAGAGCGCACAAAAATGGAGGTGCGCCATGGCTTCCAAGCTGGGAAAAAAAACAACGACCCGGCGGCTCCTTTCCAAAGCGACCAAGGCAAAAGCGCCCCCAAATCGGGCTCCCCAGCCCCGGGAAAAGCAAGGGGGGACCCTCAAGAGGAAGCAGGGCCCTCCAGGACCCCGGGAAAAGGCCCCAAAGTTGGGCAAAGTTGCGCCCAAAGGGGCGGAGGGGGTCCGAAGGCAGGCAGCAAGGCAGCGGAGCGCGCTCTCCAAGGCACCGCCGCCATCGAGAGCTTCCTTCCCAGCTCTGAGCTCAGCCTTTGATTGACACTCTCTACATTTACCCCACAACTCAGGTGATGTGCCATAGACCCACCCCTTCATTTCCACCCAAAAAAAGAGAGGGGAAAAGGCAGAGCTGCTGCTGCCACCCCAAAGAAGGGGAGCCCTGGCCCCATCCCTGGCTTCTGCCATGGGCGGAGGGGGGACACTCAACCCCCTCTGGCTCAGGCACCCTTTCCCAGCCAAGGCAGAGCCCATTGGCTGGCATTTGTCGGAGAGGGTTGGCTTCCCATCCCTCTCCACTTCCTCCCTGGACAGGAAGTGGAGGCAAGGGGAGCCATTTTGAAGGAAGCCAGCCCAGCTTTGGGTCCATGTGGGCAATGAGCGATAGTAGGCACTGGTTGGCGCATACCCCAGGATTGGAATCTGAGAAGAAGCGGAGGGATTCGGCCATTCACAGAGGCCAAGAACCATTGGCTTGGAACGTAATTCCAATGCAAGGGGTGCCATTTTGAAGGAAGCCAGCCCAGCTTTGGGTCCATGTGGGCAACCAGCGACAGTAGGCACGGGTTGGCGCATACCCCAGGATTGGAATCTGAGAAGAAGCGGAGGGATTCGGCCATTCACAGAGGTCAAGAACCATTGGCTTGGAACGTAATTCCAATGCAAGGGGTGCCATTTTGAAGGAAGCCAGCCCAGCTTTGGGTCCATGTGGGCAACTAGCGATAGTAGGCACTGGGTTGGCGCATACCCCAGGATTGGAATCTGAGAAGAAGCGGAGGGATTCGGCCATTCACAGAGGTCAAGAACCATTGGCTTGGAACGTAATTCCAATGCAAGGGGTGCCATTTTGAAGGAAGCCAGCCCAGATTTGGGTCCATGTGGGCAACTAGCGATAGTAGGGACTGGTTAGCGCATACCCCGGGAATGGCATCTGAGAAGAACTGGAGGGATTCGGCCATTCACAAAGGCCAAGAGCCATTGGCTTGGAACGTAATTCCAATGCAAGGGGTGCCATTTTGAAGGAAGCCAGCCTGGCTTTGGGTCCATGTGGGCAACCAGCGACAGTAGGCACGGGTTGGCGCATACCCCAGGATTGGAATCTGAGAAGAAGCGGAGGGATACGGCCATTCACAGAGGCCAAGAGCCATTGGTTTGGAGCGCAATTCCAATGCTCGTTGAAGGAAGCGGCTCAATGGCCTTTGGACTCAAGAGCGCCTCCCTAGTGGCTCTGTTTTGCGAGAGCAGAATTGTAACCACGGGGGTCCGGTTCTTGGTTTTTGGAGATCCAATTACTCCTAGACCCATTTATTGTGTTGGGATTCATTTCTTCCAAGGGTCGGTGGTTTAGAGGCACCAAAAGTGTGCCAACAGTCAAGGAGAAATACTTTAATATCCCCCAAAATGGAAGCATCAGGGAAATTCCTTTGTCCAGTGAGGACTTGCTCAGTGAGAGAAGTATTGTGCATAAAGCATGGTCCACCTGACTTAGGCTAGAACCTTGACCTAAAGTCACACCACAGAAGATCCAACAAGTTGAAAGTTCTACCACGAGAACCAGCCATCAGTTGGATGCTTCCCAAAAGCATCCTTCCATCCCACCATCCATGGAAACGTGTTCAAGTGATCAGTCTAGGGGTTTAAGTCTAAAAACCCAACAATAGTTACAAGCTGCTCTTCAAGTCTCCAAACTCAACAAAATACATGGTCTACATGAGTAGAACTATGATGTTAGTAACTCAAGCAACATTGACCAGACAAGGAAGTCCACTAGCTTGTATCTTCAATGTTCTGTCTAGACCTAAACTATCCGTGAAGCTAGGACCAAAATACACATTCAGAGTAAATGGGCAACATTTGTTTCAGAAACATAACATGGTTCCCAAATAATAGCATACAATGTTAAAATGGCATTTTAGACCCAGTTCCCACCCATTAATGTTCTGTTCTCCAATATGTTGCACATGCATGGCCCTTATAACCCAAAATCTCAACACTTCGCTCCTCAATGACCATTGATACAGGTTATTTGAAGTGACAGAATATATTTAGCAATGCAAAGAAATTAAACTTAACTTCAAATGAAACATAGACTGAGCTCAACTTCTTTCTCCTGGGTTAAGAAGACATAACAATGGAATAGGGCCATACATGCAATGGACATTTGTTCATACTTTTTTAAAGTATAGCCAGGATTACCAGGCCCCACACACAGAAAGTCAAACCAGTGTTTAGCCAAAGGGCTTTAAATACATTAACATCCATCCAACCCTTGAAATCAGAACACTACAGGCCACAGTGCATGTGTTTGATCCCAGAGCACATCACCAGATTAGTATCATTTCAAAGAGCTACATCAGTTCACCTAAATTTTGTGACATGCTCCATCATTGAGTTTAGACATACCAGACACATAGCCCATCATATATAAGAGCACGCACATGTTTGCAAATAAGTAAGAGAACATAAAATAAAACCCCAATCAAGAATATAATCCTATTAGAAATGCAAAGGCAAAGTGAACTCGTTAAATATAATTTGAAAAATGAGCTTTAACATTTCCTAAAATCACACATTCCTCGTAAATACCATAAACAGTGAAAATATTATAAATCAAGAAACCTTTGACCTGAAGGAAGACAAACAAGATTACAAATGTAAAACAAATACTTTTATTTAAGCCATTTTAAAACAGCATTGCACTTTTGCCCACCAAATCAGACAAATACATCCATACATTCATGGTATGAAAATGCAGCCATCCCTTCCCATCCCTCCATTGAAGTCAATTTTAAAAATCGGTGATCAGATCATCTTTGGCCCAAGTCTTCTCTGGTTTAGAAAACAATGCAGTCCATGCTAAAGGGTCCCTGTTTTGGATGGACATATCCAGCAATCATGCATTACTTCACTTCCTTAACCACTGAATCAGCTGAACTGCCATCTTGGTTTGGAACTCGTGGTCTCCCTTTGGGATTCTTCCTTTGTCTGGAGTCTTTATAAAAAATTAAAAGAAAAATTCTGTTGGAATACAGTGAATGTTATCCTTAAACTAAACAACTGTCATATCTGAGTGCATTTTCAGTACGTTTTAAATATACTGAAGTAATGTCAAAATTAATCATGCCAAATAAGTAGGAGGAATAGTCTCAAAGAAGTAATGAATAATCCATCAACTGTCTTCTACTACAATGAGCATATACCTTAATGTCATTCAAAACTCTACTTTGAACCAAGACTACAATGAGAAAGAGAGGTATTAGTTCTGGACAGAAGTTCAATGATTCCAAAATTTCTTCAATGTCTGTACAGGAACATCATTTTTATTTTCTAGGTGGCTATTGGAAAGTGCTAAGCAAAAGCAAATGCCACCATACCACCTTGAACAAACCCAATCCAATGTGGTTTTGGAAGTTAAGCAAGGTCAAACCTGGCCAGTGCTTGGATGCCAAGCCAACACAGAAGAAGAGAGAAAAGAATCCTGCCTGGAATTCCCCAATCATAGTCAATGCTAACAATACTGGACTAGGTGGACCAATAGACCCACCCAGAAATAGCAGGTTATAATTTTCCTCTGGAAGATTTATGGCATCTTTTCACAAGTACTGGCAATATTCTTCACTTTAGAAGAACTCCAACATTAAGGGTTCTAACTTCTGCAGACTATACAGCCAGTAACAGATGTTGCAAGGAACAATAAATAGTACACTGAACCTCCAGAAAGCAATAAAGTACAGTGAAGGAACCATGTTAAGTACATTGACAGTGATCCTAGCAGAATCTGAGAAGTATTGGGTAGAGATACCTTCACCACTGGTTACATATAAAATGTATCTTAGCTTGGTGTTTGGCTTCATATAGAGATATACAAAGTTTGCAGAGGTAACAATATCTAGAGTATCTATACAAAATAAACACTTTATTTTGATTCTTGATAGCGAATTAACAAACATTATGACAAAGCAGGATGCCTGTTCAAAACAACTATTTTCTTCCAATTGACTGTCTCAAAAATATATTTGTGGAGAACCACAATGACAACTGATTGTTGTAATCATCTGGGTAAGAAGCTCTTCTATATTAGCCTCCTCCTTCCTGACTAGTTCTAACTGCTCTACTGGTTGTAACCAAGGTCCCAATAAATGAGTCCGGATGGACAACATCCATAAAAGTGAAATGATTTTGCCAATCCAACTGTCTTTTTGAAATGTCCATATTCTCAGGTATCACGTTTTCTTGAAATGGCAAATTTAAGAAATGTTAAATGTAAACATATTATTCATGATACCGTGTTAGCAGAGAATCTTCTTAGAGGCACTGCCTTGACACATCTATTAACCTCACAAATGCTGAGGAATACCGTGTTGGTATTTAGGTCAGGAAACAGACTAAGGAAGTGCTGAAGATGCAACAAGCAAACCATTACATAGTAATGGGTGAAGCTAAGTTTGTAGCATCCCAAGAGACTGACCAAAAAGATAAAATGTGTGGTTCTGGAATATCCATTGTAAAAAAAAAATCTTCCCTATTTTGACCCACTCACTATCACACTGTCTGGTAGACTCAATAGAGTCACCCAAATGAGAAAACAGTGTTACAGACGATGGTTATAATTTCTATACAATATATCAAAGAAACTGGGATGGAGGAATTCATAACAATTCAAATGTAATCTGCAACCTTTGTGTCACTTTCAAGCTTCTCTTTCAAAAATAAAAGGCTTTCAGCAAATCATTTTATATAATTTCAAAAAAACTTATTGCAGAAAAAATATTATTGAAGTGAAACTCCACCCAAGACAATATTGAGCTTATTGACAATATTCCACCAAATAGACATTCAGTCAAAATACATGTATTAGCTTCATGGTACCAAATCTGTTGGTTGATAGGAGAACCGACCAATAACACTGTGAAACTGGGAACATTTGGTTATTTCAAAGACCAGATAGGATATTGAAGTGGCTTATCTTTTTAAAACAACTCCCAAGCTTAAGATTATAGTGCAACTCTTATTGGTTCTATTGCTACTCACATTATGCTAGTATTTACTTTGACCTAAGAACAGCAGAAGCCAAATATGGACACAACCATGTAGTTTTAGAACCATCCTTCAAAGTTGTGTATTGTCAAATATGATGAATTTAAAATCTGGTATAAATATATCAAGGTTTTCAATGTGTGTGAGAGAGAGTGTGTGCATTCTTATCAGAAAAAATAAAACTTAGCAAGCATTTATTTTGCTTGAGAGCTAACTGCCCAGCAGGAGGACCACCGTATTTACAAAACAGGTGTACCACTTTGATTTGAAATACTTTACTGTGATTCAACAACACCTATAACAAATAGAAGAGATAAGCCCCTCATGGTGTCTCAACTAGGTATTAGTTCATTTCTACCTATCTCAATAGGGTTTTGCTTAAAAAAAATGATCACTGAGAAAATAGAGAACTATTTTCAATAACCATCTTAAATTGCCCTGTTTTCAGCAATGAGCATACTTCATGTTTTTTGTTTGGTACTTTCTGAATTATGGGACTTTTACAGTCAAAGTTACACTTGAGTTTAGTACTTTCTGTACTAATCTCCTTCTAGATTAGATGTTCTTCATAAAGTTTATCTTATGATGGGCAACATTATGAAGCAAAGATCAAAGAATTTCATAAATGCATTATTCCAAATGCATGTGACCAAGTATTTTTAAACAGCTATGTCGTACATTCAATTTTCTTAAAAAGGCTTCCTGGTTTTTTGTTTTCTATTGTGACACGAGAGGTTCAAAGTTGTGCCTGGGGTCTGAGTGTTCAGATTTGAACAATTTAGTGCGCATACAATTCTTTCTTCCAAGAATATCAAAGTCTCCTATCACTAGGCTAATATCTTGTAAAATATAAAGGTAAGCAGAGCTTCCTGTATTATTGTTTCATGAAAACAATGACCCCTGCAGAACTTTCTCAGTTACAAAACATGGAACTAGAGGACCCAAAGGATTCAGGCAGCAAACCTATGATGGTCAAGGAAATAAAGCCCTGAACTTGCTTGAAACAGAAAGACTCTTGGGGCTGCTAAAAAAAAAGAAGAGAAGGAAAGGAAAGAAAAGAAAGAGCTAGAAGGAAAAGACAAAGAGGGACTATGTTTAGAACAATGGGTTTTCCATTTCTGTTCCAAAGAAAATTAGGTAAAGGTAAAGGTTTTCCCCTGTAATTAAGTCCAGTCGTGTCCGACTCTAGGGTTCATCTCCATTTCTAAGCCCAAGAGCAAGTGTTGTCTGTAGAGACCTCCAAGGTCATGTGGCTGGCATGACTGCATGAAGCACCGAAGCGATACCTATTGATCTACTCACATTTGCATGTTTTCAAACTAGCAAGATTGGCAGAAGCTTGGGCTGACAGTGGGAGCTCATGCCACTCCCCGGATTCGAACCTACGACCTTTCGGTCAACAAGTTCAGCAGCTCTGCAGTTTAACCCACTGTGCCATTGGGGGCTCCCCAAAGAAAATTATCCAGTGATGGGTATGCCTGTGGTGCATGGTGCATGTCTGTGTGTAACCTCTACCAGTGGTGATAAAAATATACCACCAAAAAAAATTATCCAGTGCTATATTTTTATCACCACTGGTAGGGGTTACACACAGGCATGCACCACTTTGAGTTTCTGGCTTAAAGCAGGAAAAGACTGAAGGATCTTGAGTCTGGGCACCGTTACCAAACCTATTCTCACAAGACAACTGTTAAAGAGCATTGGGCAAATTCTAAAACATACAGGCAAATTATATGAGCAGTTAGGACATTTCAACAGGGTTACCTACCCTAGAACCTGCATCAGAATCTACAGGAATATATGGCTGTTCAGCAGATATGGAATGGAAAATCAATCCCAGAAGAATGAATATTTGGAGACTACTGGTCTAAAGAAATCTGACTACAATATGGCACTTAGCTCACAGATTCTAACTCTAGACAAGCCCTCATTTTGGAGTAGAGTTGCAGCAATATAAAGAAGGCTTCATGACACAACCTTCAAGTATTCAAATGAAACTAGAAGTGGAACTCATTGAAGCCTGGGTAAATCCAGTCAACCCTTCTGATTATTACAGAACATTTATTCCTTTATATACGTTAGCTCCACAGAAAAAAAACATAATAAAGTATTTACAAGTTATTTTAACAATGCATACTTATACGCATAGAAGACTTCAAGCTTTGTGCCATGATCACCCCCATGTTTGAGTTACTGACTCTGCATGAATCTCTACTTTTTGCTTTGTCCAATGAGGTTATGGGACACTGCATTCACCACAGTGGGGTGTTACCTTGCTATTGCTTTATGAATCCACTGCTAAATAAAATAAAGGAAAACTATATGAATCCACATCTATTAATAAGCAAACTTGAGCTGAAGTTATCAATATTACTACCTCCTCCCAAATATTGTGGAGTTTCTCAATAAAAAATACACTTTATTTATATTAATGAGCCTATTCAAAGCTGCTGTGATACCCCAAAACAGAGCCCATGTCTAGTATCTCTACTGATGAGGAAATTGTATAGAAATGCTGTGCAATACAAAGCAAGTCTGAATGTGCTTGAAGTGGCATGAAGCAAATGAAGCGAGAATACGGCCAGACTGTACTGGCTGGGGTTGACAGGATCTGGGTTCAACAGTTTGGGGAAGTCTGGTCTAGAAGTAACCCACCAGGCAATATCTACCTCCTCACACTGATCTAAATGTGGGATTATAGAGGCATATTGTTCACCTTCTCCATGTAGCGGATATTCCTAGAGAATGTATCACCATGTGGAAACAACTGTTATACAAGGCTGCCTGACTGAAGGGCTTCATTGAACCACAAGAGTTCCCCATACGTTCCGCATACCCAAGGAATCCTACTGTCAAATTATTTTTAAAAACTGCACAGTGAAGCGTATTGTAATTTTTAACTCAAGCATTTGTAGCCAGAGGAAGAAAGGTGAAACCTGAACTTTCCAGAGCCTAACACCATTAAGACAGCATTTTTTCCATTTATCATGGCACAAAGTCTACCCAATAGTTCTCAGACAACTACAAGCCAAAAAGCAAATACATTCATTGTTACAGAACAGGTTGTATTTTGGTTTTTTAAAAAACAGGAGGGAAATTATGTGACATTTGAAAAATATGAACTTTGGACTATCTTAATGTGTGTGTGAAGATCAACTTCCTGTTCTCTACAATAAGGAAGACTGGCTGCCATTTGCAATCCAGAGTAGTCTGGAGCAGATGTATCAACAGCCAATAACTTCAGCAGTGTAACTGAGCAATACAATGCAAGCCAGTATCTACTTAAAGCATGACTTGTATAAACTAGACCTTGAGTTTTATACAATTGCAAAAATTAAAGCTTTTGCTGAAGTGATTCACTCCAGCTATAAACCGGGGAACCCAATGATTATTTTAAAAACCCTTCATTGTTAAAAATAGCAAGCTATAGTAGCTAACCCGAACCCTTCCTCCCCATTAGCCACTTTTTGTGCACAGGGATTTTACAAAACAATGTGTGCATTCCAAAACGCGGTTCCCCTATTTATAGCTAATTTCTTTCCAGGAAGTTTCACCACTTGACTCTACTGCAATTTTCTTGGATGAATGGCTCATTTAATTCAAAGTTGCATAACTAAAGACAATTTTAATCCAAAACATACAACTACAGAAGGCCTTCTTTAATATGCTTATACACGATTTAAGCTAACTTACCAATGCTTCAGCCAGTATCAGGTATTTCACACAGTCATTTTCAGCATATTCCATTCTTCAACACATCTGGAGAGAGAGATTTAACATACTAGATTAAATGAAAGCCAAAAATAACAGTGCCAGAATATGAATGAAAACGAAACCCACAGTTGGACAAAACATGTATTGCAGCCAATCCAAACATACACTTGTAGCTTTTGGTTGGTCCTAATGCAGGTATTATCACACTGGATTCTATTCAGATTCAATGAGTTATGTTATACAGTGACACTGCATCCTTGCCCACATTTACTCACAAATCAACCTGCTGATTTCAATAGATTTTGCTCTCCTTCAGTAAATCTTACACTGCCAAAATTTAGAACTTTCGAATCACATAATGTATTTCCTGCTCTATTGAAATGTATCTGGAAGCTAATTATAAAAGGCACAACTACTCCACCCACAATCCCAATGGTGGCTATGATACAAAGTGATCTTGTATTGACATTGCATTTATGACCCCTCTTTTTGAAACAAAGTATTAGGTGCAAATGTGTCTTTTCTGCTGCTATTATGAGTATGCCGAAGCGGTGACAATTCTATGTACATCGTACCTTCAAAGCAATGTAACATTACTGCTAATATTGAAAATTCATCCCGGTGGGCATTTAAAAGGTCCCACATTTGACATATTTGGTAAAGGGTAAACTAAACATGTCATTTCTCTACGAGGAAGATAATTAACTCAGATATCTAAAATGCGTTTCTAGGATATCTGGGTATGGGGATACAGAACCCCCCTCCCCATGCTACCAGTACATACCAGCCACATATTTGTGATCACAATTGTTTCTTTATCTGAAAACTCACAGGGACTTGTAGCCAATGGTTCAGGGACCAGCACCAATCAAGGGACTGTCACACTGAGTAGCACTGCTCTAAGGCAACTCCCATCATTCCCGTCCAATGGCTTTTGTAGTAAGGACTGCCGAGATACGCAGTCCATCCCTGAACAGCCCCATGACCTCCTCTCTGCTTTAAGGCAAAGGGAAGCCCAGCAAACTAAACTTCAAGGCTCTCACTCGTTTTTACCATTACTGATACTTTGGTCTCTTAGTTCTTCCCAGGCTCAGGGCTAAACACTGAGCATGCAATTATTTTGGAGAGGGAGCACTTGCCAAGACTTCAGCACAACATATTTTCCTGAGAGTATGTGAATGAATCTTTCCAAAAACTTAAGATGTTACCCATATGTGTATTTTAGAGTATGGCTAAATACTTAAAGCTATTAGTGATTTAATCACACAGCATCTGACCCCACTTTAATTTCACTCAACTATCTAACATGTAAATTCCACATACACAAATTGAGTTAAATTCAGATATTTGATCCACATTTGCTATTTCTAACATATAATACTGTTCAAATATGTTTCTTAACTCAAATCAACATTTTATTCTAGTGTATAATCTAGTTGCCCATTGCCAATTTCTAGCGTAGACCTTACATACCAGAATCCATTTGTGTAACCATGTGCCAAAATAAACTCAGGATCTGCTAAACAGGTTCTTTCCTAATTAAAATTATGATGCTCCTATTCCCGGGTACTATTTTGCTGAACCATATTTCACAAGTCATATCATTAATTTTCAGACAATTGTCCTTTGAATTACATTCTAGATTCATTAACGCAAACATCGACTTACAGTTTTTACCTGTTGCATATTTCGTTGATCAAATAAAAATCTAACTTTAGAGGTCAAAGGAAAACAACTAAGCAGTAAGTCCGAATGATTGATATGCACAACAGTAGTTATGTTATCATGCATCCGACCTTTTATGTATGTTCTGTAGACACATACATTTAAAAAATCCAAAATATTTGTATTTTGGAATTTTATGTACAGTATTAATATTTTGGGGAGGCAATCAGCAATTAACTTTAATATATATGACAATACATAAATAAATCAGGGTTTGGTATACCTGGGTCTAACCTAGGCATGGGCAAACGCCAGCCCTCCAGGTGTTTTGGACTCTAACTCCCACAATCCTTCCAGCTGTTAGGAATTGTGGAAGTTGAAGCCCAAAACAACCGGAGACAAATGCCTGGTTTAACCAGAGTAGCAGAACAAGATGCCCTATTAAGACACTAAGTAGTCAAGATCCAAAAAGGGTACATTGTTGCCCCACACAAGGAGCTTTTTCCTTACCCCAACAGCCTTTCATGGACCAAAAACCCACTCCAAGTCTTCTCTGTCATTTTAGTGTACATGGGAGACCAAAGGAGTGAATCAGAGATTCTGGTAGAAGTACATAATTGGATTTTGACCTTAACCATTTTTCATAGGGTGAGGATTTGCTTATATCCCCAACCATCCCTCAAAACCCCCAAATTTTCACTAATCAGCACTGACAGATTAGAGATTTTTTGGTGTGCTTAACTTCATAATCAAAAATTCAATGCAACTGTATGTTCTTCACTATATTGGATAGGCATACAGTAAATGGAAAACGTAATGGATAAAGAACAATTATGTAGTTCTTTAGCTTGTCTGAAAACTATTGAATGGCTCTTCAACCAAGCATTTGGATGTTGTAAATGTCTGAAATCCAAGTGCTGGCATTTATTTCCTAGTTGCTACAAACGTCCCCTGCATAGAAGGATTTTCCAATGCATTGTCATGTTATGGGAACTAACCTAAAATTATGCAGAGTTCTGCTATTCTAAAGGAATTTATATGAGCCAAGTGTTGTAATTTTTTCTATTTTTCTGAATCCGATGACAACACATTCCAAATGCACCTGTGTGCAACTCTTAACTCTCAACAATGAAATCACAGTCTACATTCTGATATTTAGTACAATGGTAGCAAAAATGTAAAAGGTACTTTCAAAATGAAAGGTAATTTGGGACTGAAATGTTAATGAAGAAAAAATGTACAATCAGTAAACTACTTGTCTTAAAGTTTAAAGTCTCATTCAGGTTTGGTATATCTAATATAGTAACAGACCAAGCCAGATTTAAATCCCAGCTCAATGTAATCTAGGTAAAAAATCATTGGCAGGATACAGGATGGAAAGATGCTCAATCCTAGCTCTGAGGAGCAAGAAAAAAATTAAAATGTGGATTTATGATTGGATATTTGTTCTAAATTCACACGATAGACACAACTCTTCTCAAGAAAGTGATCTAGATTTCTGCTAAGAATCTACAATTCTCAAAACCTGTTTCACAAGGTAGAAGCTGCAATTCTGTGCACATCTGATTTAAGATAAAGTTGACAGAATTCTGAGGAATGAATGCTGCTAGAACACCACTATTGGTTTAATAATAATAATAATAATAATACAATTTAATAAATGTCAGTACTGCGAAACCACTAAATTAGTGTTTGCAAGTTAGATGGATAAAGCCAAATTCACACAATTCACAATGCGTTTTCTGCATTGGCAAAAGCTCCTTTGGTTTAACTGAATAGCAAATAACTTTTAGTCACATTAATGAATTAACTTGTAATAAAAACAAGTATTCATACATTCTGAAAAGGAATAAAACTTTTGGAATTTCTGAATAAGGCAATATTTCTGTTCTGGTAAATGCTTAAAGGCTTTAGGCATTTTCTGAAACTTAAGATTAATTGAGTCCAAATCTATTTGGTACTTGAAACAATCTCTTATTTGAATACATCACGCAGGCGACTTATCTTAAAAGTACACATTCAAAATCAATCAATGCTGTTTGCAGCATGGCAGAGTTAAGGTTCTTCTTGAGCTTTTTTATTGGAAAACCAACCAAAGAAAAGTAGCAGAGCATCCGCCCAATGCTTGCTGTAAATATTATTCGGCTAATGGATGCAAGCTACTCTGAACACTGCCTAGACATTTAAAAATAGACATTTAAAAATGACACTTTTCCTCGGTGTTAGAAATAAAAGTAGTTGAACAAAGACTTGAAATTGTGTTTTGGTTTGTGTAGTACTGGAATACTACACAAACCAAAACACAATTTCAAGTCTTTGTTCAACTACTTTTATTTCTAACACCGAGGAAAAGTGTCATTTTTAAATGTCTATTTTTAATATTATTTTTTTTATGATTGAAAGCCTATTTAGAAAGCAATAATGGAAATTCTAGGCAGCATCAGCTAGGAAAAGTGAGTACTCTGTTAAGAGCTTGACAACTGAATGCAAAAACCCCTGTATTATTCAAGTAAATCCAGTATAAGTAAACATACCTTTAGCAATTAACTAGGTCTCTCCTAGGTTGCGTTGAATCTTCTCAGCTATCAGAACCTGATGCAATCTTTAAAGAAAATATGTAGGTTTGTGTTAAAGAATGAAATTCAACACAGAAGCAACTGCTGTGTTTAGAACATTCCAGATTGGACAGCAACTACGTCTAAGGAGTAGCAAAATATTTTTCATGAATTTCTTTATTTACTTCATTTCTACCCCACCTTTCTCACCGCTATATTTCCAAAAAAAAAACATACTCAGGACACTTATGTCATAGTACATTTCACACATGCATTATATTGGTTTTTCTAAAGACACATTTGGTGTGTAAGGTTGCCCTTCTATGACATCTTTATTCATCTTTTCTGAAACCACAGATCGTGTGAATTGACTTCTGAAGTAGCTATCTGATCCTACATTTTTTTAGTTGAAAGTAATGAAATAATTCCAAAGGTTATTTCCATTAGGCATGGTTAGTCACTCCCTTAAACTTAGACCTCCTCAAATCACTTATTTAGAAATATGTTCAAAGGAAATCTTTCTAATAACTTTAGCGTTTTACAATTGTTCGCTAACCTAGAATCTAAAACTCATCCTATTTTCAGAAAGAAAGAAAAAAAGCTACATTGAATCTGGGCTAAAAAGGATACTGGGTTTTGTTTGAGAAATTAAATAGGATGGAAATGTATATTCAAAATGGAAACAGAATTTTAAACAATCTTACCTTACAAAATCATTCTCCACAGCTCTTGGAGGCAATTAGTTACGTAATTGGTAAACATTCAAAGAACACCTTAAAAAAAAAGAAAAAGAGGTTTCATTTATTGAAAAATGCTTAATGTTTACCGACTACAATGTACTTTAACAAAATATAGAACATTGTGTCAATACTGGTAGTTGTTCCAAAGTGTTTTAAAATGGTTTAACACAATATTAAAAGAAATCAATAAGGGGTCTGTTTTCCTTATCTCACAAGACAAAACACGAGGAAGGTATTACTACAGACTTTTATCCCTAAACCCATGTTTGAGACAGCAGCAAGTTTATTGGAAGGCAAAGTCAAATAAACTTATTTCTGAATGACACCAAAATACACTTAGAGGATTTCTACTGTCTATAAGAAGTCATGGATTACAGTACTGTATCTAGATTCTATTTGCAATTATTTTGTGTCTGCTATTGAGGCTTTGAAATGCTCACTGACTTATCTTGACATTAAACTTCAGCTATTTACTTGCATTAATATGAAAGTATTTATATATCACAGTTAATTTTATCCACAACAAAAAGCTCTCTGAAATTCTAGAAATTACGTCAGGTTCAGTTGTATAATGCAATCTCCAGATCTTTAAAAAACATCCATCTGAGGAATAAATCTCAATTTACTGAACGACAACAAATGGTTCTGTAATCAGCTAAAGCCAACAAGGCTCCAATGACTCAAAAATAAACCTACCAACATGCTAAAAATATACTGTAGTTAGCACTAACTCCATGCTAGAATGTTCTTCTCTAGTAAACAGGGAAAACCACCTCTGAGTATTCCTTGCATAGGTAAACCCTATGAAATCTATGTGGCGATTTGAAGACGCAAATACACAAACTTCTTAAGTCACTCAAGGTCTAAGACATCCTAAAGGAGACATCCAGTTAAAAATGAAGATTCCACATAATAACTGATCTTAACACCCAATATTTCAAGACTTCACAAAGCCAAGGAAAAAGTAACCACTGAATAAACCAATCCAGCATTTGCTACCAATTAAGAAAATATACTTTAAAAAATAAGTTTCCTTTAACAACATCAAGAAGGGGGACGACGACTTTAATAAGAACAAAGAGAAATCCTTGCACAACTTTTTAACTACTCTTTTATTCTATTTACCTGGCTGAATGCCACAGACATCAGTTCTAATTTAGAAATATATTTAACTATACAACAAAAGACTTGGATATTCAAAAGAAGTTAACTTAAATGTTTCACCACAAGCTCAAAGGACAAAACACTAATTACTGCAACAGTCTGGTAAAAATAGCCTCCCAAATAATCTCTCTTCTGGGCTAAAAGAATATATTTTCAACAGAACCAGGCAACTAGAATGCATTGTCGTTTCTCCAGCCATAGTTTAGAAAGGGTTAAAAGCCAACACCCTAGATACAGAAAAACAAGTTTAATATCTGAGAGAAAGACACAGACATGGCGCCTTTTGTTCTTACCGAAACAAGAGGTTTCTTTCCTCTTTCCAGCCCCCAGCAAAGAAGACGAACAAGAGCAGGAGCCATCTTTTAAAGGGCTTAGGACCCAAGAGGAATGCTAAGGCACCTTTCCCTCTCCTGTCCCCACATCTTTTCGGAGGGGTGTTGCCTCCCATTTGCTGCAGACCCTCACCACACCCCACCCACACAAATAAAATGCTGCATTGGGGCAACCAACTGTCCTCAAGGATCTCTCCTCTTTGGGGGTGTCCACTCCAGGAAGGAAAGAATGTACAGAAATACCCCTTACAGAGGAAAAAACGAGAGAGCTTCATATATAATATATATATTGCGGAGAGGTATGCAATCCCTTGGTGTTGGCGGGGTGCAAATCCCTCCTTAGATTTTTGCTGCAGAAAGGAGGGGAGAAAACCTGCAGTTCCAATGGCGGCTGTGGAATGACACAAACCTCCTCCAATGTCAGCTTTGTACTGCTGGATCTAGGTAGCCATATAACGCACTTTGGAACAACATCGCATGCTGGTGTAGACCCACATAGTGAATGCAGTTCAAACTGCATCATATGTTCAAGCGTAGACTCATATAATTACAGTTTAATCTGCATCATATGTTCAAGCGTAGACCCATATAATATAGTTCAGACTGCGTGATCATATGGGTCTACGCTGACTATAAAATGCAGATTGAAACTACATCGTATGGTCAAGTGTGGACCCACATAAATGTAGTTCAAACTGCATTATATGTTCAAATGTACAATAAGAGTTCAGACTGCATGATCATAAGAGTCTACACTGATTATATGATACAATTATAGGGTCAAGAGTAGACCCACATAATGTACTTCATGTGGTCAAGCGTAGATCCCTATAATAGAATTCAGATTGGGTTATCATATGAGTCTACACTGACTATATAATGCAGATTCAAACTGCATCGTATGGTCAAGCGTAGACCCTTATAATAGACTTCAGACTGTAGTTATCATATGGGTCTGCACTAAGTATATAATGCAGATTCAAACTGTATCGTACGGTGAAGCATAGACCCACATAATACAATTCAGACTGCTTTATTGTATGGATGTACACTGACTACACAATGCATTGTATAGTCAAGTGTAGACCCTTATAATAGGGTTCTACACTGAGTATATAACGCAGATTTAAACTGCATTGCACGGTGTAGCGTTGACCCCTATAATAATGTTCAGACTGCAGCTATCATAGGGGTCTACACTCAGTATATAATGCAGATTCAAACTGCATCGTATTATGTAGCCTAGACCCCTATAATAGAGTTCAGACTGCAGCTATCATAGGGGTCTACACTGGGTATATAATGCAGATTCAAAGTACATTGTACGGTGTAGCATAGACCCCTATAATACAGTTCAGACTGCAGTTATCATAGGGGTCTACACTGGGTATATAATTCAGATCCAAACTGCGATTTGAGGACTGGGGGACTCCTGTACACATTGAAGACCGGGTGTTGTTTATTGTGTCGTCCTGAAGGAGAAATACAATGCAAAACCCGCGCTGGAAGAGAGAAGAGAAGGCACAAGGAGACTTCCCTCCCCGCCTTCAGCCTCCAATGGCCCCATTTCCTTCAGCAGGAGGCTTTGGGGATTTTAGTTTGGGGTGAAACACCATTCAAGTCAGGGAAGGAAAGACATTAGAGTATCCCCCAAGTACAAATGCCAAATTTGAGATCCCCCTCGCCTTGGATCCCCTTGACTTTCCCCATGCCCCCTCCCCTCAATAATTAACAATTTTGGAAGCCCCCTCCTCCCATTAATCCATTCTAGATGGAAGAGGAGACCATTTTATGTCTCTTTATGAGGAGAGAAATGTCCAAGGCGGCATTTCTGCCTCAAGGACACTCGCCTCTCCTCAAGGACAAAGAGACAATGGCGGCCAGAGGCAGAAAAGAGGAGGAAAAGGGCTGAGGGGGAAAATGGAGGGCGGCTACTACTCACCACAGGCCGGCCAAAGTCGGAAGGCCTCGGCAGGGCGAGAGGAGCCGGGGGAGAGAGGCCGGAGCCTCCGGGCGGAGCTGCCACCTCCCCGGCCATCTTGTGCGGAGTGAGCGAGGGAAGGCGAGCCCGTCTTCGTCGTCGCTGTCGAAAGAGAGAGAGAGAGAGGGAGAGAGACGGCGCTTGGCCCTCCCCCCCCCTCTCCTCCGGCATCACAAAATGGCCGCCTCGCTATTGCGGCAGGAAAGGCAACGGGCGGGGGCGGGGCCTCCCTTGCTCTTCCTCCTCGCCCGCCCGGCTCCAGTATGAGCTGCGCACGCGCGGAAGGGCGCCTCCTCATTGGTCCGACTCGCCTCCCAACCCCATTGGACGCCGCCGCCGTTTTTTTCCCTTTTCTCCCTCATCTAATTGGCTGACTATTTTTTTCTTTCCCCCCCGCCTGTCTTTTTCCCCCCGCGCATCCTATTGGCTGATTATTCCACCGATGTCATCATCAACAAAAACAACTCTGCGAAGGAGGGAAGGGGAATCCGCGCCGCTGATTGGTCGGCTGTTTGAAAGCCCAGGCCACGCCCCCTCCAACCTTCACTTCAGAGGTACCTTTACTTAGGCCCTTCAGAGAGCCATAAGGTAAAGGTAGTCCCCTGACATTAAGTCCAGTCATGTCTGACTCTGGGGTGTGGTGCTCATCTCCATTTCTAAGCCGAAGAGCCAGCGTTGTCCGTAGACACCTCCAAGGTCATGTGGCCGGCATGACTGCATGGAGCGCCGTTACCTTCCCGCCGGAGCGGTACCTATTGATCTACTCACATTTTCATGTTTTCGAACTGCTAGGTTGGCAGAAGCTAGGACTGACAGCGGAAGCTCACGCCGCTCCCCAGAATCGAATCTGCGACCTTTCGATCAACAAGCTCAGCAGCTCAGCGCTTTAACCCACTGAGCCACCGGGGACCCTTTCAGAGAGCCATAGAACCCTTCCAAACAGGTCCTATATCCATAAATCTAATCCCAGGTTTTCTGTTTATTATTATTATTATTATTATTAACTTTATTTGTACCCCGCTAGCATCTCCCGAAGGACTCAATGCGGCTTACAAAGGCCAAGGCCTCAATACACAACATAACAATACAACGTAAAACAAATTAAATCAGTTAAAGCAATATTAAACAACAAAACAACAAGCAATAAACAATACACCAAAAACACAATAAAACTGGCGGGGCCAGAGTAATGGGTACAGAATTAAAAGCGCTGATGTGACAGGTGATATGTAAGGATTATAAGGGGTCCTCAAACTAAGGCCCGGGGGCCGGATGCGGCCCTCCAAGGTCATTTACCCGGCCCTTCGCTCAGGGTCAACCTAAGTATGAAACTACTTGAAAGCACACAATAACAACAACAATCCTATCTCATCAGCCAAAAGCAGGCCCACACTTTCCATTGAAATACTAATAAGTTTATATTTGTTAAAATTATTATTGTATTGTTTTTTAAATGTTTTTGCACTATAAATAAGATATGTGCAGTGTGCATAGGAATTCATTCGTATTTTTTCGAATTATAATCTGGCCCGCCAACAGTATGAGGGACTGTGACCTGGCCCTCTGTTTAAAAAGTTTGTGGACCCCTGCCTTAGATATTATCAGGCTTCAGAGAGTTGGCAAAGTTCTAATAAAGTGCTTCTGGGACTTGTTATTGGAGTTTTCCTATTCTGGAAAGGCACACCGGAACAGCCAGGTCTTCAAGTTCTTTCTAAAGACTGCCAATGTAGGGGCCTGTCTAAGATCTTTGGGGAGGGTGTTCCAGAGTCGGGGGGCCACCACAGAAAAGGCCCTGTCTCATGTCCCCACCAAACGCGCTTGCGACGCAGGCGGGATCACGAGCAGGGCCTCTCCAGATGAACGCAGTGAACACGTGGGTTCGTACGGAGATGCGGTCACGCAGGTAGGCGGGTCCCAAACCGTTTAGGGCTTTGTAGGTAAGCACCTGCACCTTGAATTGGGACCGGAAAATGAAAGGCAGCCAGTGGAGCTCCTTAAACAAGAGGGTTGACCTCTCCCTGTAAGGAGCACCAGTTAACAACCTGGCCGCTGCTCGTTGGACAAGTTGGAATTTCCAAGCCATTTTCAAGGGCAGCCCCACGTAGAGCGCATTACAGTAATCCAACCTAGAGGTGACCAAGGCATGGACCACCCCGGCCAGATCAGCCTTCGCAGGTACGGTCGCAGTTGGCGCACGAGTCTTAGTTGTGCAAAAGCCCTCCCAGACACCGCCGACGCCTGAGCCTCAAGCGTAAGCGATGAATCCAAGAGGACTCCCAAGCTGCGGACCAGTGACTTCAGGGGGAGTGTTTCTTCCATATTATATCTGGCAGTGGGGATTCATATAATCCAGTTTAAAGAAGAAAAACTGGGATATTTATTTATTTATCGTGTCAGGAGCAGACCAAACAGTTGCATTGCATTTTTAACAAACAAACAAATAAACAGAACACAAAGTTTGCAAGCTTGGTAGTTGATTAAATGTCCTTTGACCACTTGGAGTGCCTCTGATGTTGCTGGAAGAAGGTCCTCCATTGTGCATGTAGCAGGGCTCAGGTTGCATTGCAGCAGGTGGTCAGTGGTTTGCTCCTCTCCACACTCGCATGTCGAGGATTCCACTTTGTGGCCCCATTTTTGAAGGTTGGCTCTGCATCTCGTGGTGCCAGAGCGCAGTCTGTTCAGCACCTTCCAAGTCGCCCAGTCTTCTGTGTGCCCAGGGGGGAGTCTCTCATCTGGTATCAGCCATTGATTGAGGTTCTGGGTTTGAGCCTGCCACTTTTGGACTCTCGCTTGCTGGGGTGTTCCAGCGAATGTCTCTGTAGACCTTAGAAAACTATTTCTTGATTTAAGTTGTTGACATGCTGGCTGATACCCAAACAAGGGATGGGCAACATCTGAAGGAGGGCCACATAAAGTGACATGGATGACAGTTTCCCTTCGGTTTGACACATGCAATCTATACATTCCTGAACAGATGTAGAGAACTCCAACTCACCTGAACTTCCAGAATCCGGTTCTGCTTGCTGTTTCTTACACCAATGACTTCCCAACAACAGTATGTGGTAGTAGTTGATTAAATGTCCTTTGACCAGTGGCTGGCCACTTGGAGTGCCTCTGGTGTTGCTGCAAGGAGATCCTCCATTGTGCATGTGGCAGGGCTCAGGTGGCATTGCAGCAGGTGGTCAGTGGTTTGCTCTTCTCCACACTCGCATGTCGTGGATTCCACTTTGTAGCCCCATTTCTTAAGGTTGGCTCTGCATCTTGTGGTGCCAGAGTGCAGTCTGTTCAGTG